GATCCGCCACCAATTTAAAACTGTTCCTCCTTTGACCAATAATACGAACATTTAGTAATTATTTCACTCAGAAAATTATGATGATACATGATTAATCCAATATACGTGAAATTGTTTGGAAGATGTTATTTTCTATTAGAAGACAAACCTCCCTTTGATGTGTTTAGTTTCAGAAAATGCTTCAAACCACATTATACAACGGTTAAGGAAAAACAATTACGAATTCTCCCATAAAAACAAAATGGGGCGATCTTTTTTTAAGGGGCGTGGAAGACCGAACGTGGGCAAAAGCTGACAGAACGGTGGGAGGAGCATGAAACGATGACAACGTACGAATCAGCGAGGGTAAGAGTTTTCCGTCCAATAAATACAGTTTCTTATTTTTAATTTTAAACTCTATTAATTTTCTCGAATTTTGTTCGTTTTTAATACTATTTGGGACAGAAAATCTACTCACAAACATAGCGCAGCCCTAATTTTCTTGATTTTCTCAGTTTCCTAATTAATTGATTGAAAAAAGGCCTATATGAAAAAAAATCATAGAATCTGATTAAAAATTGAGTAATTAAAAAAAGTTCACCCGCCGATTTGGGATTTCCCTAATAGACAAATTTTGATTTCTAACCTGTTTTAGTTTAAGTGACGCCTCAAAAATGATTTTTCGTACCGCGCCGACCTTATTACAATTCGGCGCTGTAATCTTATTTTCAAAGGTCTACAATTCAAGTCGGTTGATAATCATGATCAAGTGCTCATAGACTTTTGCAAACAAGTTCTATCGGTAGACCTGGACGAAAGGTGTTTAATGTTAATCCACTCGGGAGACGCGATCAACCGGATAGACTCTTGCTCGTCTCTTTTGCATTTCCCCGGGACAGATTGTGTATACTTAAAGCAGCAACAATTCTCAACGGCACAATTGCAAAATAAAATTGACCATAAATTAGGGCTGCGCTATGTTTGTGAGTGGATTTTCTGTCCCAAATAGTATTAAAAACGAACAAGATTCGAGAAAATTAATAGAGTTTAAAATTTAAAATAAGAAACTGTAATTGTTGGACGGAAAACTCTTACCCTCGCTGATTCGTACGTTGTCATCGTTTCATGCTCCTCCCACCGTTCTGTCAGCTTTTGCCCACGTTCGGTCTTCCACGCCCCTTAAAAAACAGATCCTCCCATTTTGTTTTTATGGGAAAATTCGTAATTGTTTTTCCTTAGCCGTTGTATAATGTGGTTTGAACCATTTTCTGAAACTAAATACATGAAAGGGAGGTTTGTCTTCTAATAGAAAATAACGTCTTCCAAACAATTTCATGTATACCGAAATCTGGCCATCTTAGCGGTGAGTCTGACAAAAAAAAAATATAGCCGGACAAAAATGGTTTGAAACGTCAAAACTACAACTTCATTCAGTTAGCAGACCGCTCCACAGGATGAAATCTCATAATTTAAAGTGATGAGCTTGGTCATACTTGAAAAGGAAAACTTCCATTACTACAAGTTTTGTGTATGGATCGAAAAATCTAATGCAAAAATAAAATTTTTACAGTATTATTTTTTTAAACGTTAAGTTTGCTCGTTGTTGTGCGAATTATTAATGAAATTTGTTATTGCTTATAAGAAAAAAAGGCATAAATTAAAATTATAATTAATTAAAATAATTAATACGGTCAATTATGTACAATTAAATACGGTCAGTACAAACCTGGAACTTTTTTGCTGAAATGCAGACAACACAAGGCCCTGAAGATGATCTCAATAATGATCGAAACGTTGGCACGATAAAGAAAATGTTTTTCTGAAACCTACATCACACCAGACCGCATCTCACGATTTCTGAGTAATTATCGAATTAATGTCTGATATATATAACCTATATCTTTTTCCTAATTCATTACGTACTTTTTATAAAGTATTATGATTAGTTTTAGTTCCATTTCAACGGTTTTTCCAGCAAATCGATAAAGGTGTTTATCAAAATGTTGAAATTTTAATGCAACAAATATCCAATTTATTAATATAACATAGAACTGAGCATTATGCATTATTCAATTCACTAGTTTTCGTGGTCCTCTTGACCAATTAATTGAAACATGTTTTTAAATTAATGATGAATATGTGCATGAAATTACATGTTTTTGAATTTGATAAAAGAAAGTTATTGCGGAGAATGCATATTTAGTGTAATGTTTGAAAGTAGTGATTATGATTAAAAAAATAAATGTTACAAATTAGTTATAGCTTGAATAGTTTTTGTGAAAACTATGGAAAAATTAGTAAATTGACATTTTGCATAATTGCTATTGGAGGTAGTTCATCTAATCAAATCGGAAAATGTGTCCGAAAGGAACAAGATTTAATCATACGTTTAATTAATTACGCCTTTAATTAAATGCTTTAAACTATTCAAACATGTAGAAAAAAATATCTAAGAAATTGTATTTTAATTTCCATTATATTTCAATTGACGAAATGTTCGAAATCTTGTTTAATAATAGTTTGTAAATCCCCATTTGCCCTTGTAAAGTTTGTTTAAAAGATTTAGAAAAGGATGATAAAGAAAATACTGAATATTGGACCAAGGGTCAAATTGAAATTTTAATTGAATAATAATTCATTTTGTAAGGTAATAATAATAAAATAAACAAAAAATTTTATAATTCTATAATAATTTATTAAATAAATATAAATATCATATATTAGACAAAGTAAAATATATCGTTTAAATCATTGGCCTGCGACACGTCATGTAAATATTTGGAATCTATTTGGAATTATAAGTACAGGGTCGGGTAAGAATCTTATCGTGATTCAACAGATTTCTTTAGTCTCTTGCCAGTTGCTGGCAATACGGCGCAGGAAGGGTTTTGAACCTGTATGCTCAAGCAAAAGAATTTCTTGTGTATTAAAAGTGGGATTTTTGCGTTAATCAACGATCTCATATATCACAAAGAAATAATTTCTCACCGGTCTGAATACGAAAATGTATGAAGTACTACTCAAAGGAAGGATACAAATATGAATACAACTTTATATATGCTTAACAATTTATTTTTAAAAATACTTCGATCAAAATATGATATATATATTAGTCATATAAAAAAAATATACATATTCATCGTCGCACGTGAATTTCCTTATGCTTCAAAAGATGAGCTTTCTGTGAAAATCCACGCTCGCAATATCACACACGAAAGGTTTCTCACCGGCATGAATCCGGAAATGAACTTTCAGGTCATACCGGTCTTTAAAACCTTTTCGGATATTGCACAGAAGTGCATATACTTATCTTTATTTACGAGTATACACTCTTGCGTCTCCGTGGGGCTTTCATGTACCTGTTGTAGTTTTCCTCAAAACCAGCATCTATCTTCTGTAATACCCTCTCTTCCATGTGGAAAAGGATGTGGAGGAAATGGATTGCAATTCCGTCCAATCCGTCAGACGGTGATGGTCGGAAGGTGCACATACCGACACAATTTGGTACTAATCAGGCGTGGCATGTGTACGCGCTGTTATGCACCTCAGCTACCTGGCCCGTCTCTTGAGAATTATCGTAAAGGAAGTCGTTTTCGTTTACTTCAATCTGTGGTAAAAAATCTTCAGCCAGATTCTGCATTTTTTTCATATCGACTTTGTTACCTGCAACATAAAAAAACACATTTGTTAAACTATATATTAACCCACATCCCATTCGAACCCACGACCTTCGGCTAGATACGCTGCTCTACCACTTGAGCTATCGTGACTTCGATCCCCTCGGACACTAACTTCCCTTCTCAACCCTACCTTTTGCATTATCCCTCCTTTTTGCAATTTTTCAATCATTTTTTTATCTCAACTAAAAAACCTTAATTAATTGAAAGATATTAATTGGTCAAGCGGACCACGAAAACTAGTGAATTGGAGAATAGAGTTCCTTTTCGACTAAAAAGAGGGAACAAAGTATAAGTATAGTAGTCGGCAAAATGTTAAAAGTTTTAAATTTTGTTTAGGTCATATATCCATGATCTAATAATATTTCCAAACTTACAATGAACATATGAATCACATAAAAAATGTATATGATAAATTAAAACAAAATGGTTTAACAGAGAACCTCGAAAAAGTTCAGCTGGAAAAAACAGAGTTAAACTTTATGGGTCATGTAACTTCAAAAAATAGAATTAAAATTCACCCTGACCTTGTAAAAAGTATTTTAGAATTAGAGCAACCCACAACATTAAAAAATTAGCTTCATTTTTGGGTTCGGTAAATTATTTTAAACAATAATTATTCAGAAATCGTGAGATGCGGTCTGGTGTGATGTAGGTTTCAGAAAAACATTTTCTTTATCGTGCCAACGTTCTGTCTGTGAAACTTAACGGACCTTAAATTCACCCTTGAATTGTGTTACTAATACTTAAACTGGAATGATTTGTTTACTAAAATTAAGACATGTAAAAACCTGGAACTTAGAGATAGACACTAAATAGTAGGGCCAATTTCCACATAAAATTATTTAACATAATTAAATAGTACTGAATTATCTTTCTTCTGTCAGAAAACAATTTAATTAAAGAGATATTTTTATTTATAAAAGTTTCAGAAAATCATAAGATTTCCGTATGTTTGTGTTAGTGTATTGACTTTCATTGGAAGGCCGTCTATGCAAAATCGTATGAAATACACATAAACAATAATATAATGGGGTTTAAATGAAAAATATGAGAAAACTATCCGTATACAATATATTTTATTTTATTTTTATCAATATATATTTTATTTTAAAGTTGTACAATTCAACATGAATACTTTAAACATCTGGGATGCTCGTCAATTTGCCTTTTATTGCATTTACCCATGTTTCATAACTACACAATACTGTTTTCTGTGAACTTGCTTAAATAGAAAATCAACAAAATAAATCGTAAGATAAAACAATACAAAACGATTTATATAATATAATTTGTACAGACTTTGAATTATTAACCAAAATAAAATGACAAAAATTGTTCAAAATTACAACAGAACTTGATTATATAAAAACTTATGAAAGTATGTATCAATACAATGTCGAATCTAAAGAAAACCAAAAATAAAAACACTTTTATCACAGAACTATATACATTTAGCGTATAGATTCACTTTATTTCATATGCGTTCGAGCGGCAAGTGGTTGTTTTTGGGTTCTTTCGGCTCCAGAGCTCCAAAAGTAGATCCCATTACTGTAAATCTTGGCCCAGCATGTATGTACACTTGTCTATTTATAAAATGATACTCAGTTGGATTTTGTCCTGTTCAAGTGTGTCTAGTAATGTTTGGCCAAATGAGCTTTCCGCCGGAAGCATTTGTCGCAGTAGGAACAATAGAAGGGTTTCTCACGGTGTGGGTCCTTATGTGGACGTTGACAGAGTATTTATCATTAGACCCTTTGCTGCAGATGTGGCAGTAGTGGAGAGATCTTTCCCGCCGAGTGCCGGACGTCGATGCTCCGTTTTTGGATCGTTTGTGGTAATTTTTTGTTTGTTTTGTGATGCGGGTGTATTGCTCCTATTGCATTGATCTCATGACACATGAAACAGCCCCAGCTGGTGCCATATTTCAGCTAGATCTTTGACAAAATTGTCTATCATGTTTTGGGAATGGAATGGTGTAGGAGAGAGCCTGAGTTTCTTTCGGCACGGTGGGATAATTTATCGCTTGGACATAGTGACGTTTCTGTCTGAGCAACGTGTCGGAGAGCATTGAGCAGATGTAGGGGTCTCCGATGTGGATCGGGATAATATGAGAGCTTGTCATTTCAACTGGAAAGCCCTGCTCTACCAGCCTATTTCTCAGGTAGTCAACATTTTCCTTGTGCTTCGCTCTCAGCTGCCTTCCTTCATCTGAAAACAAAATTGAAATCGAGGCTATTGCCCCTGCCAAAACTGTAGGAGGTAAAGAAGTAGTAAAGATAAATCCAGCGGCATAGCTTCTAATCATGTCTATTAGTTTTTCCGAAGAGGCAACATAGCCTCCAATATTTCCAAACGCTTTTCCAAGAGTGCCTGAAATAATATCCATTTCATCAAGGAGGTTGTCCCTTTCTCCTATACCAGCCCCGTTCTCTCCATACAAGTCAACTGCATGAACTTCATCGATAAAAGTCAAACCATCATGATCGTGAGTGATATTGCATAATTCTTTCAAAGGGCAGATCGCGCCAGTCATGGAATGAACTGTCTCAAACGCAACGATTTTGGGCCCGGATTTATCTACTTTCTGCAGTTGTTCGTTCAAATGAGATAAATCGTTGTGGCGGAATATGAATTTAGAAGACCTGCTGTTTCTTATGCCTTGAATCATAGATGCATGGTTGCCTTCGTCGTTAAAGAAATGCAGATTTGGGATAGTTTTCCCTAATGTGAATAATGTGGAATCATTCGCGACAAAACAAGAAGTGAAAAGAAGAGCTCGTTCCTTTTTATGAAGAACGGCAAGATTATTCTCCAAGGTCTCATGTAGGACAGAATTGCCAGAGATGTTCCTCGTCCCACCAGTCCAACCGTCGGCCGGAACCGGTAACGGGCTGACCTGTAAGCAAAATGGGTAGGAACCGTTCGGGCGATCCTGTTCTGGCGGTTCTGCTAGGTGGGATGTCAAGTCCACGAACCCGTGGATGTTCTGAGGGTACGCGATTTCTTCAAGGAGAGTCATGGCATCAGGAGCGTGTGTCGTCGAGTTCTTAATTTTAAGGAGGTTGGGCGATTCCTCATTTTCAACATGTACAACGTAATCGTTGGAGAAATTGGACGGCACCACGTTCATCAGATCGTCTAAATCTCCAGCCGTGTTGGTTCTGTAACTCGAGCTTTCTTGTGTTTCCTGCCTCTGCCGCGTACTTGGATCTTCCGCTCCGTAGTTCGAATAAGTGTAAACAGAATTTTCCGCAGTCGACTTCGGTTCGGGGATGGCATCTTGTTTCCAATAGTTGATCTCTCCAAAAACGTCCCTCTCGCAGATTGCTACTCGTTCCCGAAGTTGCACATCGCAAGTGGTTGTTGTTGGGTCACATGACTATAAATCTTGACCCAGATAATCGTCGTCTAACATCGCTAATGTCGATGTAGAAAATCCTGCTTATTCTCTTCTGAAACATAAAAATACATTATATGTAGTGGTCTATTGACCAAACTAGTTTTTTCAATTAATAAATCTTTTTATGTAAGGATTTTGTGGAAACGAACAAATACAATCTATTAACTTTATGTTTATCACATAGTTCTGGCGATTAAAATATCGTGTAAAGTTAAAATAAAATAAATAAGATTAAAAAAAAATCGTGTAAAGTATAAATTCGTAACATCGATGAGATGTGAAGTTAGTGTCCAAGCGGATCGTAGTCTTGATACCTGAAGAGGTAGGGCAGCGGCGTATGACAATGACTAAAACCCTTAATTATTTGAAAGATATTAAATGGTCAAGCTGATCACGAATACTAGTGAATTTAACAAAGCCATAATATTCCTCTTAACATTTTTCTCAATTTTCATGCAATATTTACTTACTACTACTACAAAAAAAAAAAAAAATCTTAAAATCATAAAATCGATCTTATGTCGATAGTGGAGAGAGATTGCTCAATTGTACAAAGCTTCACAATGAAGATAGTGATATTTGTTTAATCTTTCACTTAAAATGTTAAAAATTATTAAAATTTAATAATTGAACATTATTTATTGTTTCTTCTATTGCAAAATAAATAATTTAGACAAATTCTAAACTAAATTTATTAAAAAAATTGAAAACGGAAATGTCACTATATTATGGAGAAATTCAAATTTATCGTTTTATTTTTTAGAAGATTAAAAAAGGGGTTAGATATTAAATAAAATTGTAAAAACATACCTCAACATATCTGTGATGGAAAATTGCAAAAATCTTCTTACTTGCAATATAGACTAGGAATGCTTAGTAGCACTTGATTACTGGTGACTAGAAAAGAAAATATTAGACTGAAGGGTCTCAACTCTCATCCCCGGGGGGTGCTTTTATACGGGACCGGTTTGGTTTTCCCCTACCCTTCGTCATAAATCCCTCAACTCCTTTAAAACCATTGGAAATGCCATGGAGGGGATTTTTCCCCCCTTAACGAGAAAAGCCCTGGTTTCTCAAGGGTTCAACGGGAAGTTTCTGAAATATGTCCAGAATTTCCTCCCATCTAGGATGATTTTTTAGGGGAAATGAAATAATTTAAAAAAAGTCTCCAAATGTGCGTTTTTGAAAACGAAAAGTCATCGAAGGTGCATCGTAATGCAGGAGATATTTTCGTCAAACTTAAACGAATAAACAAAAAAAAATCAAAAATAATAACAATAGACATTATTAAAACGCATATTTTTTAATTGAACTTAACTATCTATTACATTGAATTCAGAAAACTATAAGAAATTTCTATATAAGGTATTAGTTGAGATAAAATAGTCAATGCCACGAGCGCGATTCGAACCTATGAACTTCGGCTAAATACGCCGCTCTTTTAACCACTTGAGCTATCGTGACTTTGACCCACTCGAACACCAACTTCCCATCTCAACCTTACTTTTTGAATTTTCCCTCCTTTTTGCCATTTATCAAATGTCGTTTAATCTATTTGATTCTCGGCGACAAATGAAATGGTCACGGAGAGCTTTAGTGAAGGTATACTTCGTTTCACTTATTAAATCCATTATATTTACGGGTCTAATTAACCAAATAACTTCTTTCCAATTATTAATCTTCATGTAAGGTTGGTGATAGAACAACGGCGAATTTAGCCGAACATCGTGGGTTCGAATCCCCCTCGTGACATTGACTTTTTATCTCAACCAATACCTTACATAAAGATTAATTAATTGAAGGAAGTTATTTGGTCAATCGGACCACGAAATATAGTAAACTATAAGAAATATTGATACAAATTAGAAGAAAAATAAAATTACCGACTTAAATTTAAAGTTATGATATAATACCATAAATACTAGTATTATCATAAAATTTCTCGATATTTTTTTAAATAGTACATGTAGTAAAATCATATGAAAGGTCGTATTAAGTAAAATTAGATGTACAAAAAGTTACAAAAATGAAAAATATTCCTGTAAAGTAGACAAATATTTTTATTCAATTATAGAAACTATTTAACCTTTTACTCTTTTAAAACCCTTAAATAAGAAAGAATAAATTGTGATCAAATAATTTGGCTTGATTGACGCTGAGCACGTGGAATCACCAAATTTAATTTTAAAAAGTTTTGGAAAAACGCTACAAAGCTTTACAATGAAGATAGTGATATTTGTCAAATCATCTTTCCCTGAAAATCTTAAAAATTATTAAAATTTAATAATTGAACATTATTTATTGTTTCTTCTCTAAACTAAATTTATTAAAAAAATTGAAAACGAAAATATCTCTATGTTATGGAGAAATTCAAATTTAGCGTTTTATTTTTTAAACGAGAAAAAAAAGAAGTTAAATATGAAATAAAATTTTATAAACGTACCTCAACATATCTGTGATGGAAAATTGCAAAAACCTTCTTAATTGCAATATAGACGAGGAATGCTTAGTAGCACTTGACTACTGGTGACTAGAAAAGAAAAGATTAGACTGAAGGGTCTCATCCCCCGGGGGGTGCTTTTATACGGGGCCGGTTGGGTTTTCTCCTACCCTTCGTCATAAATCCCTCAACTCCTTTAAAACCATTGGAAATGCCATGGAGGGGATTTTTCCCCCCTTAACGAGAAAAGCCCTGGTTTCTCAAGTGTTCAACGGGAAGTTTCTGAAATATGTCCAGAATTTCCTCCCATCTAGGATGATTTTTTAGGGGAAATGAAATAATTTAAAAAAAGTCTCCAAATGTGCGTTTTTGAAAACGAAAAGTCATCGAAGGTGCATCGTAATGCAGGAGATATTTTTGTCAAACTGAAACCAATAAACAAAAAAAAAAAAATTAAAAATAATAACAATAGATATTATTAAAACGCATATTTTTTTAATTGAAATTAGCTATTTCGTAAATTGAATTCACAAAAATATAAGAAATAATGAAACAAATTTGAAGAAAAATAAAATTACTCACTTAAATTTAATGTTTTAATATAATACCATAAATACTAGTATTATCATAATATTTCTCGATATTTTTTTAAAGAGTACATGTCAAAATCACATGAAAGGCCGTATTAAGTAAAATTAGATATACAAAAAGTTACAAAAATGAAAAATATTCCAGTAAAGTAGACAAAGATTTTTCTTCAATTGAAGATCCCGGTCCTATCTTATGGGGTTGTAAATCATCGTAAAGTTTCCTGTAGATCAGTGGAGTTGGTTAATATGATCACTATTCTTGCAATTTTTTTAAAACAAAATCCGAGACATTTGAAAAATTCGAGAAAAATATTATTTTTGAAAAATTATCAATCAAAATCAATCAATCATAATGTTCAAAAATTAATTCCAGGTTTTTTAGAGAGAAAAGCAGGACTAATTTCACTTAACACGATTATATTATTTTCCAATGTTAGCTATAAAAATGATGTAATATATATTTTTTAGTTACATTAGTTATATAGTTTTTAGTTTATTTTTAATTTTGAGTATATAATTCAGGTATAGTCAAGCAAAAATAATGTCAATGGCGTCCCCAGTGTGCTTTATTAGTGTTTTAATTTATTCTTTATCTGATAATTCATTATAATGTGTATGAAAAAGAAAAGCAAGGCCTAGATTTTAACGTTTTTACAGTTTCCGAATTGGTCAAATATATGTACCTCCGAAAAGATTATTTAATAATAATTACAAGATTAATTTTAGTACAATATGTGAAAATAGATTAGGCCCTGACTGGACTTTAACTATCAAATTTCATGGCAGTTTTACATATGTTGGTAAAGCTAATCTTCAAATCAAAGGGAAAAGTAGAATTCAGACGTAACAACATTTCAGGTTCATCATCCGGATAGCAAAAGAGTAATCTATCGATTAAAACAGGAAAGCGCCAAAAGTAAAATTAAAATTAGATTTAGTAAAATTTATAAAGTACAAAAAGCTTTGGCTAGTTTTGAACATTAGATTTGCCATTTCCGTGATTAATTAGCTAAATGAATTTAAAAATAAAACCAAAAATGACAGGATTTCTGCTAAATGCTTGTCTGATTGTTAATAGAAATTAGAAATAAGGGCTAGATTTTAACATATTTTTCCATTTCAGGACAGTTTTCATTTATGTATTTTGTTCAAAACAAACCTAAACCTCAAACAGAAAATATTAAACCTTGTTAATTAGTAATTAATATTTACAAGTTCATTTTAGTAAAATTTATAAAAAATATAAAAAACGCTGATTGGATTTTTACATTACCACTTCAATGAAGTTTCACATATTGTGGTAAAAATAATCTCAAAACCAAACACAAAAGTGAATTTTGGATGTTGTTGATAGAATTAACGCACAGACGACAGAAGGAGATTTCATGATTAAAACAGAAAAATGTGAAAATTATACAAAACGACATTTTCCAGGTTTCAAAATTTTTTTAAGATAGAAAGCATAATTTTATGAATTTTTATGAAATAGAAAATTGTAGAAAAAGTAGATTTCCTTTCTGAATCATCCACAACCCTTGTTTTGAACTTACATTTTACAATAAATAAGGCAATAAAATAGGGTCAAAGTCGAGAAAAACAAAGTTATCTGAAAAGGTGGAAATAAGATAAGTCCGCAGGTAGATTAAGTGTTCAATAGAAAAAAAAATATTTTGATTTAGGACGTTTAGATTAGTACATATCTAAAGCACCGGACAATAGAATTTTTATCACAAATACTTTTAAACAAATGTTGATTTAGTGGTTTGCGAAAACAAGATGGTACATGTAGCTTTTTAAAAATATAAACAATTATAACAATAGAGAAATGTTTAATAAAAAAAATTAGCTTGATGAAATTCACAATTCGTGGCTATGGACGTAGAATCATCGATTTTTTGCATTCCAAATATCTTAAATGTCACGAAGGAATGATTATATCTATGAAACTATACCAGTGATTGTTTCAGTATCTAGATACTTTGCACATTTTTAGAACGATCTACACTCAGTGATATGCCTGTCCTCTTATAAAATCATAATATCATTTAGATTTTATTCAATTTTCACGATATCACAACGGTTGGAAAGCTGCATTTCTAATCATTGATCCCTTACTAACAATATTTAGGTGGTTGTATTATAGAGAATGAGTGAGAAAGTGAGAAAAATCTTGACGAAATCGACAACAAAAAACCTCTACCCATAATATTTTATATTACGTTTTCTAATTAATTTACGGAGGTCAGATTTACAGATACAGAAGTAATACATAACAATGAAAACGGTTCACATTGACGGGGACAGTTAGGCTGAATTAACCCGTTATCTAACCCAAATAAGAGCCACCATTTTTCTTCCCCCTAAGACAAGCAGGTATTCGGTGCGTCCTGGGTTTTCCCCAGTCCGGCTACCTGCTGCAGACGTTTGCACCTTAAGGTCCGATGAACTGTCCGTAATAGGTTGTCAGCAGTTTCGTTTAAATTATAAATTAGAAAGGGATTATACGAATAGTGTTTGACCTTTGAGATAAAAGAGGATTCTCTAACTTCCTGTAAAGAAATGTCCGCCAAAAAAATTATTATTATTATTTTTTAATGAAAACGAAAAGGCTACTTTTGCCATGAAGTAATGTTTTACTTTCCTACTGAATGTTTAACACCGTCTCATAGTAGGCTTAGAGAGGTAGCAAAGACGAAAATAATAGCAAGTCATAACTTCTACTTTCCTGACTAGGTAATGATATGTAATATTTCTGCGANTGAGTTTTCCCTCCTTTTTGCCATTTTTCAAATGTCGTGTAATCAATTTGATTCTCGGCGAGTTCAAAAAATTAGTGCCACGCGCCGCGATAGCTCATGTGATTAGAGCAGCAGTTCGAGTCCTAGTAACACAAATTTTTCATACATAAAAAAAATAAATGAACCATTAGTTTAGTTAACTAGGACCAATTGGAAACCATATGGAAGGTAAGTAATCGCTCAAAGAAGACTTTTTAAAAAAGAAGAAACTTTATTGTCAAAACTGTACAATGTTTAATTTTAAACCGACAGAGTGACGGGCCGAAGGCTATCGGAAGAGTAAGGCAAGGATATTTGGGGATTAGGGTTTTTATACTAGTTTAAAGGAATGCTGATTAAGATGATGGGCGTCCGTCTGGACCCATAAGACTTTGCTGACATGTTGGTCTGAGGGGCGTTTGGTTATTCCATAACTTGAATAACAAATAAAAACTGTGCTGACATGGCAAAACGTAATTATCTAAATCTTGGGGACCATCATCGGCTTAATTGTACTAAAAAATAGAGGATGAGGAGGCGAAACAATCAATTGTAGGAAATTCCTTTTGGCGATACCAGGTCGACAAATGCTAGCCTCGTGTTCGAGCATGGTCATTATATACAATCGATTTTTTTTAAACTTAATATATAAAAATAATATGCAGGATACAACATTTAATTAATTTGTGACCGAGTGACGTAGAAAAGTCGTTTAGCGTAAGTTTTTTTTAAGCAGAAATAAAAGAAATTTTCAATACTTTTACGAAGATGGAATATTAAGTACACCTTGTACTCTCGATTAAATATAATGTGAGTGAAGGGAAAAGTATATTGTGTGCTTAGTTCCACTTTACACTCATAATTTATAAACAACTACACGCACACTATCTAATTTAATTGAAGAAGTTGATATTTTACGCTTACAAATACAATCTCGTTAAATAGATAAAACAGAATAATAAATAAAATAAATAATAAAATAAATAATAAAAAACAAATTTTTATATATTATATTTTATAATTATAAGATAAATATTACTAAAAATTCCATATATACAGAAATCCTTCAGTTCAGCACAATTCTCATATCGGATGGATTCCTATTCGCTCTCTATAGGAATGGTTTAAATTATGATAGCAATATGGAGCAACCTTTCTCTGCATGCTTTGGCACAAAATTTGATGTCCATGTATCAGCGCGTATCGTTCATCTTTCATCTGCGGTTGCTCTCTTGAGGCCATCTGTATTCCTCTATCAACTAAATTCAAAAAATTCAAAAACTCGGGTACCCGTGATCTTTGCACGTCCTACGAAAACTTCAAATTGAGCTGTTGAGCCAGGAAATCGTCCTGGAGCGGATCACTATAGAAATGCAAATACAAATACATTCTCATGAAACAGATAAAACAGATATAATAAAAAACCAAACTTTTCTATATATAATTATAAGATAAATCTTACTAAAAATTCTATATATACAGAAATCCTCCAGTTTTTTCTACAATTCGGAATACGGGACTATTCGCTCTCTATAGGAATGGTTTAAATTATGATAACAATATGGAGCAACCTTTGATTCTAGCGAAATCTGTTTCACTTCAAACTATCACTTAAACAAATTTGAAACGTAAAAATAGTACAGCTGAAAAAATTGTGTACACAAACAACTTGGGTGGCCATTTGTTTTTGCCTCAAACAACAAACCCACATGTCTATCCTCCGTTTGTACTTCCTGCACTTACTAACTAGTAACGGTAT